TGTACCAATTTCACCCAGAGGAGCGATTCATGTGTTCGTTGTGAGATCATAAGTAGATGTTTGCTTTTAGGATGAGGTCAAATCTTATCTGGTAGCAGAAAGAGAAAGATGGAAAGGTTACTGTGCCATGGATGTGGTACGCATACTTTTAGTAGTTACAGAATCGGAGTCTCGCAGGTTCAAACTAGCATCTTATAGCATATAATGCATTGATAATGGTAAGGCTAACCGGGCTTTTAGCTCTTGTCCGGTCTACCTCCGTTTTAAGCGCCCGTTATTCCTCCAGAGTCTCCGGTATTTACTTTGTTTTCTTGCTTGTGTCGGCAATCGTGGCCAAAGGAGGATTCAGACAATTTTCCGAACTTTCTGGTTGGTTTCTACTGTCCGATATTGTAGCACGCTAACTTTGTTTGGGCTCCTGAACGACACGGGGGAGCAGCGTCTGCCTCACAACCAATCAGGTTAGAGGAGGTGGAGAACGGCTTTGTTTACAGTCAGAAAGAGCGGAGCGACACAGACATAAGAGAACACAGAGATATCGTTATATTACCAAATGTCATCAATAACTAATAATTATCGACTGATATTAAAGATTTTTTGTATTTACACAACAAAAAAAGATGTTTCTTTAACAGATTCCTGCCTACCCCACCTTTAAGTGAGGGCGCTAACCAGATCAAATGTCTGAACTTCTCCATGAATTTTTACATGATAGGAACTTTACTATGAATTTCTCATGGGGCTACTTTCAATCAGTTTCAACCAGGCGTTCAGCAGCTTCTTCTTCATTGGTGTTTAGCGGCTTCTTCCTCGTTGGAGTTCGGCGGCTGTTTCTCCTGGTCGGTGGACTCTGGCATCGAAACTTGGAATCAAAATTTGTTCCGGTTCCAGGAGAATCGTAATGTCAGTCCCAGTTCCCAATGATACTCGAGACTCGATGTCCAACTCTAGAGGTCAACCACTTCCCTCAGCAGCTACAGAAAAAAGGACGTTTTCATCCTGCTCTTAAAAGTACAAAAGGTCTCTGCCGCTGCTGAAACTGGTGGATGGTTTCCAGGGCGAGGGACGCATGTATGTTAAAAACAGAGTTTGGGTTGAATTTCCAAACTGACTGGACGACTTTTTCAACATCATTACTCTGATGACAAATCTTCTCCTGGTTAATTCTGATCTAATATGCACTCCAAAAGAAATGTAGGGTACCGAGTCCAAATAAAAGTGAGTGAGAGTGGACCTTTTTATTTAGGAGCTTAAACAGAGCGGGAAGAAAGGAAATATGAGAGGAGAATATAAAAGAGGGCGACAGCAGAGATGAAAATGGAGGAGAGGAGGGACTGGAGGATCCTTGAAAGTGTCTGATGAACGACTGCAGCAATATTTTCAGCTTCCCTGAAAACTCTTCACGGCTCATAAACTTCTGGGAAGACCTGAAAATATCTCTCTGTTCTCGCTCCCTCCATCCCATCATCCCTCCTATAGGCCACCGTCCTGCCTGAGCGAGGTTTCTTTTTTTTTATCTTCCTGGACAAAGAAAGAGAGAGAGCAGAGTCGGCCTTTGTTTCATCCTTTTATTTTTATTACTTTCATTTTCTTGTTTTTATACGCTCTTTTTCTTAGAGGATGGCGATCCATCACTACGGAGGAGAGCAACAACAAAACCTAAACTCAGAAGGTGGAGGATGATTTATCGCTTCCCTCCGTCTCCTCTCTGCGTTCCCTCTTTCTGTGTTTGAGCTGCTGGATCATGAGAGAGAGGAAGAAAAGAGGGATGGAGGAAAAGAAAGCGCGGTGTTTTTGGAAAAACTGTGATATGGACTCGGTGCAGCGAGTCTAAATCAGGTGAATAGAAAGTGTGAGACTCGTGTCAGTTTTAGGGGTGAGAAACACGAAGAAAATAAAATGTGACGAAGTAGAGATTCAGCAAACTGACAGTTTAACATGTTAAGGTACCAAAACTTAAGGGTTATAAAATCTGCAAAATACAGTTCTCAAAAAAATAAAACAAAACAAACAGCCGAGTTTCACGGTTTGACCTGGAATAGTTACAAAACAGTGAAAGACATGACCTTCCTGTTTTTCCCTCTCTTAACTTCATCAGACCGGCTCTGGACCCTGAACTGGACCCTGACTGTCACATAGTCTGGATATGTTAAGAACTGAAACCTTGGTTAAGCTGAAGATATGCTGCAGTTTGAGGCCGATTCTAACACGATTTTAGTCACATGACAGATTTGTAAATCGTGTCGACTTTAAGCCCAATTCTGATCCCAGCCTCATCAGCTGATCCTTGACTGGTTGGATGAAGCTCTTGCATGTTCGAACCTTTGGTCGGTTTATCACACACATGGTGACAACAACAACATCTCAGGTGTAGTTTGTTCTGGAAGTTTAGGGTTTCAGAAATAAAGGAAGCGTGATGAGTTTAACGAGACAGACTATGAGAATCGCAAATTCAGATTTATGAAAATGAATTTCAGTATTTTAATTTGTAGCTGAACCCTGGAGTTTGTCCTCATGTGAATAATGTATACCTTTGGTTTTAATCTAACTAAACGAACTGTTTCAGGGTTAACAAACAGACCTCCAAACTCAGGGTTCGACCGTTTCAATCGCATTTGGTTAAATCTACTCGGCACCCTCGCTGTCAACGCCAGGTGTTGAATAAGGGACCGTCAATAAATTACTGGTTGATGTTTTCAAAAAAGGCTGTTTTCCTTCAATAGCTTCCATGTCATGTGACCAAAAATAGTACCAAGGTCGGACGATAAGACACACCTCTTTTTTTTCTCAAATTTGTCTTCCACAAATTTTTGGGTTAAATCTGAGACCAAATTTTGAACCTTTCCTTCAACAGCTTCCATGTCATGTGACCAAAAGACCTAAAATTGATTCAATAATAATAGCACTTTTGTTTAAGACAAACATCATTTGATCAATTTTCATTGTGCCCCTAAAGTTCTTTGTGTGCTCCTTACTTTTTAAACTTAGATCACATGTGCTCCTTCTGAAAAAAGTTCGCATCAAGCCCTGAAACTGATGCTACCTTGTGCGTTGTGTCCTATCTGAAAAGGGTTGATTTATGAAAATGTTGGATGACAGTGTTTTACATTCAGAGGATGACGCATGAACAAAAATTGATGTTAAGGAAAACAAAGACGACGCATGCAGCAGATTGTACAAACGTCAGAGCAGTTGTTGTTTCACTTTTGGCTCGTTTTGCATGAATGATTTGTAGTTTGTTTGTGTGACCTCCACTGGCATGTTGTGCAAAACCGTCCAAAGAAAACAGAAAAGAGGGAGAATAAAATCACAAATGACAGATAACATAAAAAAGAGTAGGATCATTTCAAGCATGTTGTTGTACAGTACGGTTTAATGTCCAGAAACGCAGCACAGGCACGTGTCTTTGGGGGCGAGTTTGTGGATTTCTGCATCCTGACGTTATCTGTGTGTCGTTCCCAGAAGGAGAGGATTTGAAGAAAACAGAGAGGAAGGGAGGCTTCAGGGATGGAGCGATAGGAGGGAGAAATATTTTAAGAATAGAGAAAGTAGAATAGCAGACAGACACAGAGAGAGTGCTGCTCGTGCCAAACTGATGATATAACATGTTAGTCCCTCGCGGATGATTTTAATGACGCACTCAGCTGAGTCACACCGATCCTGCACTTGCTAAAAATGTGAAGCTGACGTGACACGCAGCTACAGTCAAACCCCGTACTACAAATGTGTGTGGTGTGGAGCTGTAGTAAAATGTGTGAGTAATGAATTATGAGCGGGTTCATTCAGGTTTCAGCTCGTCTCTCTCCTCCAAATTTTACAAGTCTGTCTCGCACACGCTCTCCATCTGTCTCTGTTCCTGCTGATGATGAGAGCTGAATGTATTTACTGTTGATGAGGAGTAAATCCAGGCATTAGGAAAAAAACAGGGAAGAAAGTCATGCTGTTGATTTCCAAGTCCAGATTCACTAAAAACTTTGAGCGCCTGCAAAATCAAAAAACTCATTGTCTCTATTTTTCTATTTTTTTTATCTAAACTTGTTGCATCAGTAAAGAAAATACCTCCTCTCACAGAAACAGAGTAGAGATTGTCAGTCACTGAGCAGATGGAGGCAGCAAACCTAGAGAGGAAGCAGATAAATCTGTTGCAGCTGAGTCCGTATGTTTGCCACGGCAACAGAGTTTCATTTTTTTTAATAAGTTTAAAGCAGCAACAAACTTTTAAACCCATGAATAAAGTGTTGATCAGATATTCTGAACCTAATCTCAGACCTCCCATAGGTCTACATGACCCTGTATGTGATGCAGAGACTCATGCATGCAGCCCAACATTCACCCTGAGGTTTATCTGCAGGTGGTCGACATTCCTGGTGTTTTCATCGTCACCTGTACTCTTCCTTTGCAGCCGCATTATCACCTGATGCAACACACTGTATATCCGCTTCAGCTCGAATATAATGAGCTTAGATTCTGTTGCCATGGTTTCCTGGACACAAACACATACAACATGTTGTAGGAAATTGGCGATACGCTGACACTACGCTGTTGGATGTTTTGATGCTCTGGTGGTGGTGTCTATAAAGGCGTGAGCCTGTGTTACACATTTCTGAGACAGGTTTGAGCTGGAGCCACTTTTGAACTTTCTGGACTAAAGTTTTATTGCATATGATTTGAGGAATGTAATGTCACTTTATCCTAGTTGTAGAAGTCCTGCAAAGATTGTGTTTGCTGGTAGTTTGTTGGCATCTACAGTAGCACCAATGCTTTTGACTTTCACCTTGACTGGGCCCCATTTGTAATGATCTGAAGTATTTATCTACATTATATCTGAATTTAATTGGAACGATACGAGCGAGCAGGAGTGTCTGTTTGTGGGCGGGGCTTGAGGAGAGAGGAGGAGCTGAGGGGAAAACTGGTTGGGAGGGGTAGAGTTTACATTCAAGATTCCTCCTAAAAACTGGAACTTCCTCAGATTCTGACTACACCACCTTTAACACAATAATCTAAATAATACAGCGATATAAAGTAATAAGGTTTGTAACAAAGGAGGAGCAGCTGCTCTCATGGCGAGAGGTTCTGGTCTTGATGAACCTCCCCTTTGCCTGAGGCGAGGGTCTCAGAGAGTGCGCCTGAGATGAGAGCGGCGAGAGGAGTCTTATCTGCACGCCTCGGGGTCCTGGAGGCATCAGGACCCGCAGATATGGCAGGTCACAGCCGGTCACCCTCTCTGCAGAGCTGATGATACGCTGCAGCCCGCTCTTGACCTCAGCAGCATCTGCAGCGTCCCAGGCTGTGATGGAGGAGGTGGGGATGGACTCACTGATGGAGGTGCAATAATAAAGACTATCACCTCTGAAGAAAGGATGAGCTTAAACCGCAGCGCCCCCAAAAAATTCAGGATAAAAGAGGCGATAAAGAGGGTAACACAGATCCTTGCGTCGACTCAAGAAAAGACTCTTTCCCACTGCTAGAAATGGAAGAAACCTCAGAGAAGACGAACATAATGAACTGTTCCCCCTCAGCTTTAATTTCACAGACATCTCTGAACTTTCAAGGAGATTTTTGCCCGGAGACCCTGTTAATTTCTGTCCCTGATGCAGTACATGCTTCAGAACAAAGTACAGTGTGAGATATCAGCGCCCATCTCCAGAGGGCCATTGTCCTTAATTAGAAGTGTGGTTATCTCCTTGGCTCTGCCCTTCATCATTACCAGCTCCTCTGCGTCACACAGAGGCTGCAGGTCATTTCCAGTTCACTCCATTCAGCTGAAGATGCAGAAAAACTTGTTAGTTCACCTGCAGATCCGGAGGTGGCAGGAGCACCCCGGGTAGCTAATAACATGTTAGCAAACCGCTGTGCACCTGCGGTGAAGTGTGGGCGCGCAGCGTGAAGAGAGAGAGAGAGAGAGCTACCTCTGACGGGAAAGTGCTGGAAATGTGAAAAATCTGAAATCATTCTGACTGTGAACTTTTCCACGTTCTCTCAGTCTGTTTTTAACCTTGTGGCGTTTTAACTCGAGCACAGAACCAACATACTGACAAGTCCAAACATAAGACTGTATGTGACTCTTAAAGACATGGACACCAACACAGGGGTTCACGCCGGTCTCCTCCTTCCAGGTGAAGTGAGTCTTTGACCTCTGAGCTCTTAAACACTCTTAAGCCTAGTTTATGCTTCTGCGTTAGATCTATGCTGTTGGTTCTTAAGCCAATGGAGTAAGATGACCAGGTGTCCCTGATTTTCCGGGGACAGTCCCCGTATTTGATGACCTGTCCCCGGCTGAAGCTGTCCCCGGAAATGTCCCTGATTTAAGCGTTTTATGAATGAGAACAGAAATGTTGCGTGTAGCAGGAACAACGGTTACTACGGTAGCTGAGTAGGTTGGAAGCAGGAGTAAACACGTTGCGCGCAGTCCTGGGGCGTTAAAACGGGGGGCGTGCGCTGCTACTAAGTAGTACCAAGTTGTCGTCTGTGATCACGCAACCAGGTGCACCCCCTGGATGTTTCCGGATGTCCCTGGATTTCATTACAATAGAGGGGAGATGTTGGTAGGTGAACCTTTGACCCCTGGAGGAGGCTGGAGAACGGCGGTGATACCTGAGATGTTGATCAACATGCAGAACGATGACAGGTCTTAGAGTCTGCTTCATTTGGAGATCTGGACCAATCCGCCCCTAAAGGCCATCATACTTCCCTGGTTCACCTTCACCACTTTATGGTGGCAGTTTCTGGAGGGACCCCAAGTGAAGGAGTCTTGTTCAGATTGGGGCGGCGCCAAAACTAATGTGGTGAAGAAAGAGCTGACCCAGAATACAAACCACGATTTATCCTCATCCTAGCCGTCACCTACGGTCGTACGCTCTGGTTGGCGATACGGAAAATGAGATCGTGGAGAGAAACGAGCTTCCTTTAAACGATGTCTGGGATTGGACTTCTTTACACTGAAAGAGGTCACCTGATCTGGTTCTGGTATCTGATAGGATGCCTTCTGGGTGCCTCTTTGTGGAGATGTTTCCAGATTCAATCTGATCTTTATCCGAGTTCTGGTTCTGGGTTGATTGATCATCCGTCACCTCTGGTGCCATCTGTACAAACTCCTGAATGCTTCTCAAAAATGCCACCTGAGTGAACACGTAAGACGGCGGTGAGAGCCGCTCCGAGCTTCTATATTACCGGCAAAGAAAAAAAATTCTCTGCAGCTCGATATAAAACCTTCAATTTAGTGAAGATTACACAATATCTGCTGTAAACAAACTTCCTTTCACACAAACCCTGAGCTTAAGCTCAACTACAGATCTAATACAGGCTTTTCAGCTCTTTTAGGGAGGATTTAAAGAGACGGTTTTCATATTTTAATCAAGCGTTTAAAGCTCTGATTTGTTTGGTGGCTTTTTCAGCCGATAAAACATCCATCAGTGAAAGAAACGCTGCGAATAACCTTTTAAGATGATTCACCCTGAACTATCTCACTGAATCTGAGCCTCCTGAATCAACAGACCTTCAGTTTGACTCCCAGAGTCAGTGTTTTTTGGAAATGTGGATCTTTTGTTGAAATAAAAAATGTTCAAGATCAGAGCCAAATGTGTTTCAGTGCATTTGCAATAAATTTAAACCTTAAACATGAAAATCAGTCTTCAGAGAGCAGAGGGAGGGTGTCGATCTGTTCGACTGTTAACAGCTCTGTACTGTAGATGTCGCCGCTCTGAGGAGATCTGCCCAAATTCTCAGGGTTAGGGGGAGGCCTGCCCTCCCAGCCAATCACTGCTCTGGCTTTAGCAGCATCCCACGGCCCGTGATGAAGCCATTAAAAATGCCTGGCTGAGGCCAGATGGTCTGTCATTGAGGAGAGAGGAGATGTTAACCGCGGAGCTGGAAGAATAGAGAAGGTCGAGGAAGATGGATAATGAAAACAAAGAGAGATAAGGAAAGAGGAGACAGAAGAAGGATAAGAGACACAGATAAAGGACAGTAAACAAGGACAGAGGATACATCCTTTTTCAAACAAGAGGAAAAATGAGACTTTGATTTTATGATGTAATCATTCAAAGATTAGAATGTGATCGTCCTGGTTCAATCTGAAAGAGAAAATGTAAAAAAACACTAACAAAGTCCTGGTTACATGCTGAAATCTGTACATTATTCATTAACACATCATAATTTAATTTAATAATAGAGTCTAAGACCAGATCTGCCTCTCCAAGACTCCCCTCTTTGCAAACAGCACCACTGGGGGCGCTGTTGTCTCTTGATGCCATCCTTACATTCATGTTACCGTACTGTACGTAGTGCTCACATCGTTTTATACGTGGCGCTGTTTTCTGTTTTCACTGGAGAGAAATACCAAATAAAGACGAACACATAAAGTTCAGGAACAACACAGCAGCTTCGGTATGTTATTTTACTTTAACCTGAATGAGCTCTTGTTTTCCCTCTTAAATCTCTGGTTTTAGATGAAGTCTTGCAGATTTTGGAAACTTTAATTCTAAGTGTCTTTAAAGCAAATTCATACTCATATTTATTTTTTTTATGAAAACTGCAAGGACAGTTTTCTCTATGAACGAAACAACAATAAGACTGAGTGGGTCATGGAGTTGGTCATGGTCATCGTTACTGAACGCTGTGATATTATCGTCCCGGCGTGTTTACATATCTAAACCATGTGAGGGTGTATTTTTGCAGTTAAATTAAGCGTCTTTATTTCATCATTTTGTTGAAAAATAACAAACATCTCTTCGAAATCCGTCTCCCTGAGAGCCGGAGATGGCAGAATAATTCTGTCTGTCTGTGTAAACATCCAGAAGCGAGTCTTGGTTCGCTCCATTTTCTTCATTAGCTCATCATGGGCGAAAGACAAGGCAAGCTGTTGTTGGTACACTGCTCACATACTCTCCAAGGCCACACACACATACACACACTCACACACACACACACACACACACACACACACTCGGTTTATTTAGTACACACAGATACATGGTAACTGATGGGGCTTTGTGTTGCAGTCTGTTTGGCTGTCTGGGAGTTTAAACAGAGCAGAAAACAGAGCGTAAGATCTGCAGATATGACAGGATGAACAGCAAGATGACTGAGTGACGTGACTGTGGCGCCGTATTTACCATTAATGCCACAACCATGAGAATAACCTGTAGTTTATTCGTCATGAGGCCATCAGTCTCAGTGTAAAGATGTGTCGCCTCTTCAGTCTCCTTTCAGCTCTTAGACGAGTCTCTGTGACTCTATATTTCAGACTCTGCTGCTCTGATAACGTTAGCTCAGTTTAGCTAGACTCTATCAATAAAAACACAATACTGAATAGATTTCCAATCAATCATAAAGTAACACAATATAAGTCGGTGTGGATATGTGCTCTCTGTGTGCAGGCCTGCATGAAGCAGGTACAGACGCTTCAGTGGGTAACCCCTGTCTCCTTTCAATGCCTTATACATTTACATAAAACACATTCACAGAGACCACAGGTGCAAAATCTAAAAAACAAACAAAACACAAATATCCACGTGCAAATCACTGTTACAATGTGCACGCAAGTACAGAAGCGGAGAACGACCATGGATGTTTCTTTGTTTTTGTTTTTTTTATGCAGTTATCTCGTGATAATGACTTATTATCTCGATAAAAGAAAGTTTGTTTTCTCTTTTTTTCTGTTATCTCGACATAACAAAGATGTCGAAAAGAAGAATTATGTTCTGTGTAATAAATTTCTAAAGTTTGTCCACAGCTCCATAAGCTTTGCTGGTGGAGGCAGGATTTATGACCTATACTGCAGCCCATCAACAGAGGGTGCTGTTCTCAGAGTGGCTTCACCCAGTGAGGAGGCAGACTCTGTCCATTCTTTATACAGTCTATGGTTTCCACTGAAAACCCCGACTTGCTGTTGACAACAGTAGCTGTGGCATTTCAGAAATATCCCAATCTGTGTTTTTAAAAGTTACAGCTGAGGTCGGCTAAAATGCCATTTCCACTATCATGAGAAAATGACCTTCGTTATGTCGGGATAATAGAAAGAATAATAATTCAAGAAAACGAACTTTGTTATATTGAGATATCGAGATGATAAGTCGTTATCCTGAGTTAACACTGCATAAAAAAAAGAAAAACCATGGCTGTTCTCGGCTTCTGTATGCAAGTACCAGCATGCTGCTGCTTTTGTTTTCTGAATGAGACCCGTTGAGTCTAATTAAGACGAGACTCTAACAGAAGCTGTGCGGTCCGTGTAGCAGCAGAGCGATCAGGATCTGTGACAATCATACTTCCTGTGAAACTCTGATTCTGAGATATAAAACAAGAGTTATATTTCTTTTAAGTACCAAAGGTCATGAATATATAATCAAGGCACGCTTGTGGGTTACAGCTCAGGAAACTTCTCTCAGGTTTATTCTCGACTGTCGTGCAGATTGAGTTATTTTCGCAGCATTAAAACTAATCTGACTCCGACAGAAGGTGGAGTTCAGCTGGAGGTTCAGGAAATTGGAAAGAGAGCAGAGGTGTGTGTGTGTCCACGCTAGAAGAGGCCAGACGATGCTTCGCGGCATCAGGTCGGTCTGCTGGGAGAGGTGATGTAAGATGCTCATAATAACTCCTTTTAACCTCTCGTTAACTTTCCACAACCTGCCTGAGCGCCTGCAGGGGCCCAGGGCCTCATCTGTAGCCAACCTGGGGCCTCGGGCTTGTGCATCCTGACATTTATATGTGTCAGCATTTTGCTTTGTTTTTGCCCTTCAGGATGTGACCCGGATACACACCTAATTGGTCATGAGCCCACGAGGTTAAAGCATGCAAATGGGGAAGAAATGTTCGGGCTTGATGGCAGAAACGGGGCTGTTCTGTTCCAAGGCTGCGAGAGCAAACAAGGCGGTAATTATACAAGCTGAAGGTAAATAGGGGATTACATTTGGGGGGTGAAATAAGCCAAATTTAGGTATTAAAATTCAAAGCTGTAATTTCAAGCCTCAGGTTTGAGAGTTTTAGAAAGTTAATGTGCAACCTGCAAGATTAAAATGTGGGTTTTAATGAAGATGTCAGGAGGAATCTGCCACTCACTCAGTCTGATACTGTTTTGCAAATGTTTTTGCCCTTTTCTCTGTCTTCGCCTTTTTAATATTCACAAGAGTGCAGCTGGAAATCATCCTCATGCTGCTGTTCAATGAGATCTCCCTGCTGTAGATTAGACTGTCAGCCCAGAGTGAGAAAAGGTAAATAAAACACCGAGTTTAAGGTTCAGCGCTGATATCATGATTCAGGATGTGGAGTGATTTTGAGGCTGCACTATTTTATCCCTGTGAGAGTAAAGTGGTCGTAATGCTGAGAGGGTGAGCTTCATGAAGTGATGTTCGCAGGGCTGCATTTATTCAAGGTTACAGCTTAAAAACTCAGACTATGGCCTTTAAATGATCTAATAACCTGCACTTCTGCTGTTTTATTGAGACAACTCTTTATTAGGTTCGAGGGCAGAGACGTAGCTTTGTGTGAGGACATCGTGGTCACTCTGTTACGCAACATTCAGGTGAATATAAGATGGTCGCAGCAGTTTAGCTGTTGCATAATGAGTCTAAAAACGACGCAGACACCTGGACTTCAAACATTATTTGGATCACGGGAGCTTTTCTGTGTCTTATAGGGCTACTTCTACACGTATAAAGTCGTTTTTCAAAACTGATGTTTTGATTTTCTTGTGGATAGTAAACATCATGTGGATGTTTCTCAGTCCACACAGCAGTGTCACGGTTCAAAACTTTCTCTTATTTTGTGTTCACACCAGATAAAAATATCCAAATACTCTAATTGAATTCCCAAAATGATCAATTTATGCAACACAGGTGGCCGACGGCGTCTTGGAGACTACATACTTTTGCATTCATAATACCCCATATCTAGTTGTTGGTAGGCAATGCAATGTCTGTTATAAAGATACTGGGTTTCAGCAGCCGTGCGAAAGGTCAAGCTGAGCTGAGTTTGACCGTCATTTCTTATTTAGGATGAAGTTTATGCACTAACACTTCTGAGTTTCACCAGCCAATTCTTGAGGCTTTTTTAAAAATCTATATAATATTTTGATCAATTGCTGGCT